TCCTGCTGTGTGAAATGCAAACAGAATTTGTCTGGCTACCTCACAGGGCTCTTCTCGCCAGAATCAGAGATCATGTACGTGGAAGATAATGTGAGTGAAAATGCTTTAGAAAATTATAATGCATGACACCAATGTATGACTGTCCACCCATCTGTAAACAGAAACAGGTACAGCTATGGATTTTATAATTTAAGATTAAACAAAACTGATTACCTGTAGTAAAAGAAAAACAGTAAGTTTATTCATCAGTATTGATTATACTTGTTTTTTTAAGTAACCCCTTAATACCTTTTCCTCAATTGTACTAAAAACATTTACCTTAGACCAACCTCAAATGTGTAAGAATGAAAAAAAAAAAGTGTAAGAGGCTCAAATCACTGAGGCTCATTGTGATTTTCTTATATTGTGTGATTGGGGTCAAAGGGGGACACGTAATATTTTCAATAAAGATTTAGTTTTTTTAAAAGCTTACGATTTATCATTATAAAAATGGGAACAAGGGAGGCCTGAATAAAATTGTTCTTTTTGACATTATCCTCGCTTTTGCCTTGGCATTCTTTTGATTTATAACGTATGAACACAAATTATCAGCCTATATCCCTGTCTGTTTTTCTCAAGTGTTCTAAGCAACGTGATACTATGATCTATTTGAAAATAACAGCAGCTTCACTTCCAGGTCTCATTTCGGCTGCTCAGTGGGCTGGGAAGAAGAGATATGCCCTTCCCAACTGCAGAAAGCTGTTCCCCTGAAGTTTGTCCTTAACCCAGTCTCTCCTCATCTGTGGGCCATGAGGCCAGAAAATCCTTGTTGGCAGGGCTCTCATGGTAAGAAAGGATGTCCAACTCTGCCTGCCCTTTCTCAGTGGAGAGAACTTCTTGAGATGCCCTTTATTGGGTAGGAAAATGCAATTTTACATCTACTTATCCCACATGCATGTTACCTAATTTTTAATATAATAAAGTCACTATTCACTATTTAGAGCTTCATTCTAACCAAAATATTGTCTCTATGCTGGAGTTTCAGAAAACACCCAAATCTGTAGGATGTTTTCTGGGCTACAAATACCAAAAGCCCCAGGTCCCCAGACGTCAAAAAGTCCTGTATTGGCATCTCAGAGACCTAGTCACTGGGGCATCACTCAGCTTTTCTTTAGTTCTGCCTCTCAGAAGAAAAAAAATGCTTATCCGAAATTCAAAGAAATGTCACTATTTTAGATCTTAATCATTGAAGTGACATTTTAAACATTTTCTCAAAAATTAAGGAAATATTAAGTTTGGAAACAACACAACCAGGACTTTGCAAACCAAACTAATTGTAAATTGGAAGCCAAATTTATTTCAAATCCAATCCCCAACCCCCTACGCAATTTAAATGTATTGTTGCAAATTTTAAAAACAAGGTAAACAACTGTTGGTCAGATGATACCACTCCTGCTCAAAACCCTTCGGTGGTTTCCTGTCTCAGAGGAAAGCCAGTCTTTATATGCGCACCAAGGCCCTGCAGAGCCTCTTACTACCTGACCACACTCTGCTCCACTCACTGGCATCCTTGCCTTTCCTGTTTCAGGCATGAGCCCAGTACAGGCCTTTGCCCTAGCTGACCCGAGCAACTCTCCTCCAGATATTATTTGCTTTGTTCACTCCCTAATCCTGTCTGCTTAAGTGCTCCTCAGTGAAGATTTCCTGGACAACCACATTCAAAAGGATGAGCCCGTTCCCCACCAGCACCCTCTGCCCCTTTCCCTGCTTTTTCCCTGTCGCATTAATCACATTTTAGTTTGCCACACTAGAATGTAAGCTCCAAGAGGGCAGATTTTATTTTCACGTTGTCTCTGCAATTATCTATTCCCAGTACCTAAAACACTACTTGGTTATAGTAGATATTCAGTAAACATGTCGGATCAAATTATTAAATGAGTAACTAATACCTGCGGACCTCTGGGCTGAGCTGAGGGGGGCATGAAAATGAGTAAATCATGGTTTTCCTAGAGCAGGTGTTCCCAACGGGCACACGTCCCACAGGGGGGCAAATTTGATGATTAAGGAGGGCAATTTGAGAATGAGTTAACAGTGAATTTTTTGCATTTCTTATTGTCAAGGGCCTCATATACAATATATAAATATATATCATGACATACTTATACATTTCAGTTCTGTTTTGAAACTTTGCTATTTTTTCCTATCACTTCATATTTTTTCAACAATTTTAGTGATTGTTTCCTCAGTACTTCAACTGTCCTTTCGTTTTTTTTCTTTCATGGATGCCATGTTCTTTGGAAGCTTGTTTAGACCAAGTTAATGGCCTTTTAGGCTTCCTCCATGTGAACAGTTCACTTTTTGTATATGGGGGGGGGGTGCAGATCGCGATTTAAGAGATGCTTAGGTGGGGAATGGCCCAAAAAAAAGGTTGAGAACCACTGCCTTAGAGGTTTTAGTAAGGGAGAGATAACCGGATCATACTGATACGATTCAGTCAACTGTGAGGCCATGCAGAGAAGGACCAGCCTTACCAATAGGGAAGGCCCCTTAAGGCAGACCCCTCAAATGCTGGCAGCTTGTTGCTATGCTAGCTTCTTAGCCTTGACCTTTCAATGCTTGGGGTAAACCAGAGTCTCAGCTTTCTCATCTGTACAGCACAGCACACCAACACTTCCTCTAGCTTTTTGTCTGGAATAAACATTACATTTACCATTTAAACCCCAAGATGTTAAAGAGCTTGAGAATTCCTTTAATAAGATTTCCTTAAAAGCTGTGATGTTTTTAAGAACAAAGCATTGATTTTGAATTATGGAACCCAGCCTTTCAGCCTGAATTTAACTACATGACACTTTTTTTGGCAGGGTATGCAGTGAAACAATACTCAAATTCCCCATGGTTGGCTGTGATGGGGTTGAGGTCAGGGTCAATGTGATCTTTTCCTCAAATTACAAGATATCCAGTAGTAAATGGGTGTAACTTTTCAGGGGCCCAAATCAATGATATTGGAAGTATAAAACTGGGAACCAGGGATTCAAACTAGTTACCAGTGCTGTAATAGCACCTCCCACACCTCCCCATGATGTGACAGGTTAGAGTTACAGGTTTCTGGAATGAGGGCAAGTGATAGTCCAACTTCCCACTGGTGTTCACCAAAGGTCCCATTTTTAAACCAACCTAGTCCCACTTTTGGATACAGGGTTTGTCTCCCCAACTTTCTGTCAAAGCAGCTTTCCCTTCGAGTACACCACTGGGACTTTCAAACCAAGACTAGTCTTCCCTGCCTAGTCTTTCTAGAGGGGTTTTGGCCCTTTCCCACACCGGGAGATCCTCCAGTGCCTTCTGTTCACTACAAATACGTTGCCGTATATTGACTGTTACCCTTGTGGCCTGTTAACTTGATTCTCTATCTGTAAAAATGAAGACAATTCCTAATCTGCTGTCATCAAAAGGATGAAAACAGAATATAGTAATCGTTCAAGTTATTTTCCTCATATACTTGAGACTCAAGGCTTCATTAACCACTCTGTGGGCAATCTTCAAAACAGCATATAGTAACTGTTCAATAAAGTCGTTTCTTTCATCACCCAAGTTTATTAACAAGACAGGACTAATGCTTGTAGTTCATATACTTAAAATTCACTGCTTTAATTAACCACTCTGTGGGCAATCTTCCCCCAGCCAGTTGACCTAACTGCAGCCATCCAGGCCATGGACCTTCTTCATGCTGGATTTTGCTTTAGCTCAGACTTGTTCCCCATTTCAAGATCAGGGTGTTTTATGTCAGCCTTTTGGCACTCAGGTCACTAAAACTTCTCAAAGACTTCACCTGATCACTCTTCATTCAATAAATGTAGCCACCTACTGATAAAAGCTTGGGAAATGCTGCAATACAACAAACCAAATCCCTCTCATGGAGTAACATCTTATTAGGTGAAAACATGCACAAGTGAATAATTTAAGAGGTAGTGCTGGTGTGGACGGTCCATTTTCAGGATGTCTCAGGGCCTTGTGGCAGGACATGAGTAGGGACCAGGAACGGAAATGAATATGAATATTTAAATTATCCTGCAGAACAAGCATTAAGTCTAAAGCAGCGGTTCTCAACCTGTAGGTCACGACCCCTTTTGGGGGTCAAACGACCCTTTCACAGGGGTCACTTAAGACCATTGGAAAACATATATAATTACATAGTTTTTGTGATTAATCACTATGCTTTAATTATGTTCAATTTGTAACAATGAAATTGGGGGTCACCACAACATGAGGAACTGTATTAAAGGGTCGCGGCATTAGGAAGGTTGAGAACCACTGGTCCAAAGGAACTTCAAAGTAGAAGTGTTAGAACTCAAAACAGCGTCTCTTTGGAGAAAATGTGAAATCACAGCTCAAAAGTGAGCTGGAATTTGATTTGCAGGCATTGACTAGGATTTTCAAAGCTGCAAAAAGCCAGTTAATGGTTTCTTAGAGAAATTCACTGGCAACCCATTGGATAACTAATGTTCTCACTTGACCTAATGTATGCCTCCATTTATTTGCAAAATTAATTGATCTAAAGATAAAGGACATTGCTATAACCATAGTATCAACCTCAAAATTTTTCAAAATGCCCCCTTGTTCTTTCTAGGCTCTTTCCTGTTGGGGGATTCATCCCTGAGACAGCCAATCAGGGGGACTCACATCAATTTTAGCCAGAGACCAAGCCCCAAGGTGTTTACAGCCAATGGAGGTTTCTAGCTTCAGCACTCTCTACATTAAGATCACCTGCTTTTCTTTGCAATTTTATCTGTGTAAACTCATGTTTCAATGGCTCACTTGCCCATTTTGGGCAATAAGGGAAACACTGAGGAAGGTCTACAGTTTATTTCTCAGCATAAACTGCACTTGCAAAGACTAAGACATCCTATGAACCTATGAAGTACACATGAAAAGGTCGATTGGCAGTATGCTGCCATGGGGTCTTACTCACAAAAATGTCCTATTTTCCTTCCTTCATCCCATTAAGATGAAATAAGCAGACTTGATCAGATGGTTTATAAAAATTTATTAAAATTCAAAGTTGATCTTCTATCCCATGAGTATCCATCCAGCTGCCTGCAACAAAATAGCCACTTTTAGTCAATTTCCATACTTCAATTCTAATGGTATTTGAAGTACAGTATACAGAATATCAGATCTTCTTTCATCATCAAGTAATCAGTGAGAGAGTTCAAGTTGGGTTGAGATCATCATGTATTCTGGAATAAAACCACAGCACTGACATTTACAAGACTTACCTCTCAAAGGTCAGCCAGCTGCCATGACCGCTACCATAAATGCCTGAAAGCAAAGAATGCACATTAATCATGGTAAAAAGAACTTGTGTGATGCTTGTCAGTAACGTAACCTCAGAATAAAAATGGAACGGTTATATGAGTGATATCATCCTATTTCATTTGGCAGAATCACTACATCACTGGTTACATTCTAACTTATCATATATAACAAGTATCATATATTACCTGGAAATCTCCACGGTTTCAGGTCTGCCTGTTTGAAGATTGAAAAAAAGGACATTTATTAGAAATATACCCTACCAACATTTTTAACTTCTGGAAAAAATAACACTTAGGGCAGTGAGCACCTTCTGTATAGCTCAATGGTGAATGTTCCACCACGAGTGGCTGGATGTTGACCATGAGGTGTGCAATTACAAGGTATATTGGAACTGTACAATCCTAATGTAAACTATGGACTTTGGGTGGCAATTATGTGTACTTGTGTTAAGTCCGTAAGTTTAACAAAAGGCTCACTCTGGTGGCTGGATGTTGATCATGAGGTGTGCAATTACAAGGTATATTGGAACTGTACTTCAGTTTTGCTGTGAATCTCAGTGCAAAATTAAATTTAATGAATTAAAATATGAAAACAGCTAAATAATTCAGGTATCATCTACAGATTTATATGCCATAAAAATTTGTTCAAAGTATTATTAACCCGCACCTCTCCAAATGTGTTATTAATCCCCCATTACCACATAGAACGTTTGGTGTAACACATTAGTTATCCAAACCCCGGAATGTTTTGTGGGAACATGGCCAATTCCCTTTTTGAGGTTAGGATTGTTGCAGCCAGATACATCAGATAGGAGCGAAAGACAATATTGCTCATCACTATTAGTCTGCTGAACTATGTTATCATCATTGTATCGGCTTTAAACCACTTAAAATAGAAAGAAACCAAAATCAAAACTACCATACCTCTGCTAAAACTCTTTTCTCCTGGACTTGTAGCCAACCCAACTTCTCACACCTGCAGAAGTATTTCCAAATTTAGTAACAGGCAGTAATAGGAAAATTTATAAAATGTTCCAGGTACTGTTTCAGTTATAAAATAAAATCTTCATTCTTTTTCAGAGAGATTCCCATCTGTGTTTTTTTTAATCATCACTAACAGCACCTTACTTAGTAACTATTTGAGATTAATAAAATGCATACCTTTATTTTAAATGTCTCCAAAACGTGCATCTGAAAAAGTAAGTATTTATTTAGACTATATTTCCCAAATCAATGGCTTTGCACACCACAAAACACTAACAGTCAACAATTACTAAGACAAGCACATTTTAGCAATATAAATCTGTACCAGAAGCCACAATCTGTTGTCATGTCTTACCCCAAGCATGCCATCCACGGATAAAAATGTGTATCCAACAGCTAAAAGGGAAACAACATTTTTATTAATGTTAAATATCATTAAATTCTTTGCTTATTGTTATATGTCACAGGGTTCTTCAGTGTTAGAGTTGTCTACATGCTAATTTCAGGTCAGACATTTGATCAACATCATTACAAAAACCCCGTTCAAAGCATGCGCAACATGCACTCAACTAATCAAACACACAACATAAGCATTAGGAGCTTGGCAGTTATGCAGTGTATTTTATCACATTCTCAGTTTTAAGTCAATTAGAATGTTTTTAACAATACTTACAAGAAGTAAGTCAAGCCACTCCAGACATGTCAGGAGACTAAGTCCACCTAAAAAAAAAAAAAAAAAAAAAAAGGGGTTTTCCCTCAGCATTGACGAACCCCAAGTCAAACTCATGAAGAAACAAAGAGAGAGGATCCAAATAAATAAAATCAGAAATGAAAGAGGTGATATAACAATGGTAACCATAGAAATGCAAAGGATTGTAGGCAAAAACTATGAACAACTATATGCCAATAAGCTGGACAACCTGGGTGAAATGGACAAATTCCTAGTAACATACAATCTTTCAAAACGCAACCAGGAAGAATCAGAAAACCCAAATAGGCCAATAACAACGGATAACCCCCCCAAATCAAGGGAAAAAAACCCCCCAAAAAAAAAAAAAAAAAAAAAAGAGTGGTTTTCCAACAGCCAAAGATGAAGAATTTTCTTCTCACCAATCTAAAAAATGCCTGAAATCAGATAGAGCTAATAATTAAGACCTTCACATTCAGTCAGTATTTGCTTATCATCATACAGGCTTTTATCCAGACATCTTAGGAAAGGTGACAGGATAAGGACCGGCTATTTAATGTGCTCCCACCTTTCAAGCACTCCCTGGTGTTTCCTGTGCATTAGAAGGAAACCCTCAGAAGCCACTGGTGGCATTGTCGTATTTGTCCAGTTACCAATGTGAAGTTATAAGTATAATTTTACTTACCATTCCAACTTCCAGTTAGTCCTTTTTAGTGCCTACACAAAAGGAAAAGCAAATTAGTAGTGGCACTTTGCTTATGCTATTACCAGCAAATGTTTTGTAACAGATACATCAGACAAGTGGTACATTTCTTCAGAATTCAATCTGCTGAACTATGCAAGCATCACAGTATCCGTTTCTTTAGGTGTCCCCCAACATTAAATATTAGTGCAGGCGTTCACCTTTGAAAAGGGAAGGAGGAAAGCCCTGATTTGGAAATGTGTGATCCCTTAGAAAAGTCTTTGAAAAGTCCTGGGTAAATAAGATCGATATATAAAAAGGTTTCTCACCTGTCTGCCCATGACAAGAGAGTGATGCTTGCACCTTAAGACCTGAGAAGGGAAGAGTTTCAGATCAACTTTGGTGCAATCTTTATTTTCTCTAAAGCACCATTTTGTGTGCCTCAGTTAGGATAATGGTGGTAATACTTCTCGTCATTCTCACAGTCGAGAGTAGCAAATAAAATGTCATCATTGTGGCACATGGGGTGTACCTTTAACCTAACTCCCCTGCCTGAAAAAGCTCTCGGTTCACTTACCCCAGCAGCGGTTCTCATTCCTTTGGCACAGAACTAGAAAACAGACAGAGATCCCAATGAAGCATACTACACAGCCACGTTAAACATTAATGTCACCAATTCTGAAGCCTCAGAATAGGATTTGTCAGAAATTCCTTCTGTCCACTACTCTTAAACCATCACAGGCTTAACAAAAAGGGACCACATTTAGGCAAATTTCATCCTTCCCACCATATTTACCCGATTCTTACCTGTCCATCAGATGCCACATTGCACTCGTGCCGAGCATCATTCCTAGGGAAAATATTAGTTTTAGTTCATTTTGTTCTAAATTATGCAAGTGGTTTACATCACCCACAATTTCATACTATAATGGGTGCACTAGACATATTATAACGAGCACTGTACAGCTAAGTTTAAGAACCACTGACGGCAATAACGGTGCAGTGTGGAATGCAGCCACTCAGAGAACCACGTGGGCTACCCCAATACCCGCCTCCCTGGAGGAAGTGGCTCCGGCCGAGGTCATTTACAAAGACCCACTCGGCGACTCGGCATGCGCCGCCATCAGAGCTGTTGGCATTCATCAACAGTCTCAGATGTCCCTACCAACATAAGCTTCATCAGAGGCAGGGCACGCCAGCCGAGGTACTTCCGCAGTTGAGCCCTACAACCGAGTGTTGAGTTTATGTCGAGCCCGCACCCAACACGCAATCCTATACAATCCTCATCCTGCGGTTCCTGCAAAGGCTTGCAACTAGCCCATAAAAGTCAGCGCGTTTAGGGCGACTTTAGTTGCCATGACCTGGAGGCCTTGAGCCAAGAACCCACTTAGCACCCGCGAAAACATACACACGTACCAGTTACTGACTTCCATCCTCGAAAGACCGAGATGGCGTCCGGGCGCCTGTATATAAGGAATTCGTTCCATGACGTCATGACGCACTTTCCCCGCCTGCGTCGGCTTTAGCTCCTCCCCCACTCCTCCCTTAGTCTCCTCCTCCAGCCACACCTTCGTCCCGGCCTCTCTGCCCGCCCTTGGCCCCACCCCCTCGACTTGTGGGCGGGGTCACGATGGCCAGCGTGACGCTGAGCTCCCACCCTCCAAACCGACTGAGGAGGAAGACAGGAGCGGGGAGGGGGCGCGGGGACGGAAAGCGCTGGGGGAGGGGGAAAGGGGACGGTAGAAGGGTGAGTGATTTCCTTCCGGCACGTCGCCCGCTCCAGGGGAGGGGGCGGGGGTTTTCACTTCCGGGACGGTGTTCCGGCCCATTCCTGCCCATTTCCACCCCCGGAGGTAGGTGCTGCTCCTTGACTGGGC